CATTTCTAACCCCAGAGCTGTGTGAGCTGTGCAGGCACAGAGATCCCCCACAGCTCTGTGGGATCAGTGGAATCCCTCAACCAGCAAAAGCAGGGATTTGGGARCCCATTCACCCCACACTTGCCCTCTGTTTGACCTCCAGCAGTTTAGGGCGCAACCACAAAGTGCCCTGATGATGCTGCAGCAGGTCTGATATGATTGAAATTCCCTCATTTGCATTTTRTGACCTCAGGGGTGTCAGTAAACGATCACAGCAAATAATTCCCAGCTCAGACCTCTGAGAAATGGAAAGGGCTGCACACATTTAGGAAATCAGTCACCTCTCCCATTTCATTGACTCAGGAATGAGTTCTTGTGTCCCCAGAGGGTGCTGGCACTGCCCAGGCTCCCCAGGGAATGGTCCCGGCCCCGAGGCTGCCAGAGCTCCAGGAGCGTTTGGACAGCGCTGCCAGGGATGGACAGGGTGGGATTTTTGGGGTGCTGGACAGGGACAGGGGTGGGACTGGGTGATCCTGGGGGTCCCTGAGCTCAGGACATTCTGTGATTTTATTACTGAACAGCAGCAAATCTCCTCACACCATTTTCCCTTTTTCTCTCAGTTACGGACACRCTTTCCAGCGCAGAGAAGCCACGAGCTCACCTGACAGGTAATTCTCGTTCACCACTGAACTGTTTTTACAGCTGATGTTGTGGGTCAATAACCCTGGTCCACATAGCTCTGAGAGGAGCAGGTGTTGCAGGAAACAGGGGGGAAATAATGRTCAGATTTGCCTTGTTGCTCACAGCAGATTGAGATGTTGTGTCTGTGGGAAAGGGCCCCCAAAGGAGGCAGCTGACAGAAATGTCACCACTTTTCCAAGCTGTTTCCTTTATTGAACAAGCAGTGGACTGAAATAGGTGCCTGATGTCTCAGTGATCTGCTGAATCCCCTAAAAAAGGAGGGGAAGGAGCTCCAGCAAGCCCTCCTGGAGCAGGGAACTGGTGAGAATTACAAGTTTTGGAGCAAAACCAGGTCAAATAAGAGCAGTTTTATTTTCTTTTTCTGCAAGGCCTGACTCAGGCCATACACACCACATTCCTATAAAATCCCCCTCTTTTTTCAGTGAGATAATCCCTGACACCTTTCAGATCAAGCAGAGCAAGGGAACCCTCCAGGCCTTTGTGTTATGTTAGGAAGGTGCCCACCCATGGGGTGGGCTTCCATACCTTTCCAAGGTGCTTCCATACCTTTCCAAAAACTTCCAGGCCTTTCCAAGAGCTTCCATATTTTTCCAAGAGGTTTCCATGCCTTTCCAAAGAGTTATCCCACCTTTCCAAAGTGTTATCTGGCCTTTCCTGGAGGTTTCCAGGCTTTTCTAAAGGGTTTCCAGGCCTTTCCAAGTGGCTTCTAGGCCTTTCCAAAGTGTTATCCAGCCTTTCCAAAAGGTTTCCAGGCCTTTCCAAAGTCTTATCCTACCTTTCCAAAGTCTTATCCTACCTTTCCAAAGTCTTATCCTGCCTTTCCAAAGTGTTATCCTGCCTTTCCAAGATGTTTCCAGCCTTTCCAAGGGTCTGTCAGCATCCCAAAATCCCCATCTCCCCACCCCTACCCTGAGGACACTGTCCTGAGATATTCCCCATCCTCACCAGCTCCAACCCCGTGGAAAATCCAGGTATTCCCAGGGAGAAGTTCCTGTTTGGTTCTAGTGGGGATGGAGTGAGTGCCAAAGGGTTTTCCAGCTGCTCTGAGGCAATTTTTACCTCTCTGGGGTGCAGGTCCCTGCAGAGGCTTCCCCGACACCCCGAGTGTGGCCCCAGGGTGCCCTTCATGACTGGAAAAAACGCAGGAAGTGTTGGGGCTGCTTCTCACAAATCCTCCTGCAGAGCTCAATCAAAATCCACCTCCRGGGCTCAATCAATCAGCAGCTCAGGGCTGATTTATTTCCCAGAACAGTTCCTTTCCCTGATCCCCGAGCTCCTTCCTGATGCCCATCCTCGGTCCCTTCCCTTTGGCACAGGGGTTTCTTGAGCTCCAAAAGTGACTTGTCCTTGTCCAAAATCCCATATTTTCTTARGTGCAAGTTTAAAGAGCGACAGGASCAGGTTTGTTYGTGTCAGACTCTGTTTTTCCAAGTTCCTCCGACAGATCCAGAGCTTTGTGTGACTCAGAGGAGCAGCCCAAGCTCTGCTCTGCTGGTGGGAACTTCCCTGGGTTGCACAAAAGCCCAGTGGCCACAGGGAAGCACCCAAAGGTTTTCTCCAGATTTCCTCAGCCCCCATATTTACAAAAATTCCTTCATCATCATTCCCAGGCAGCCTTCCCGGGACTGTGCCTGTCCTCTTCAACATTCCATCAGGGGCTGGTCACTGTTTGACACAGAAAAGAGCGAGAAAARGGGAAAGTTGAGGGAATTTTCTCTCTCCTTTCTCTCCTTCTGGGCCATGTAGTCATCAGGGAATCCGAYATCCATCAATCTTTGACCCTTTTTTGCCTGAAGATATTCTTGGCACTGTGCCCTGCGGCAAAGAGTTTCCAAGGTTAACAGCACTTTGCAGTCAGAAAATAYTTCCTGTTATTTTTAACTTTGGGAATAATCATTTCTTGGGTTCCACCCTGATTTTGTCTTCTCAGAAATCACAACTTGTGCACAGAAAGTGTTAAAGGAATAATTATTCTCCTGATCTTTCTTACATTCCCCCACCTCAGGTGCCTGTTTCAAAGCAAAGGTGGCAGACTACAAATCCTAAATTGTAGGAAATCTCTTCCACACCTTTATTCTGTCTTTTTCAAGTTTTAGTCACATAGATTCTGCAGGTGAGAAGAGAAGGAGGGAGAGGAATGGGAATTAGCCAGAGTTCTTTGGAAACACACCACTGAATTGGCAGCAGGAGGAAAACTCCGTGTTTTGGTGTCTGTTCCTTTGTGATAATTTTTCCAGCTGCTCTTGGCCTTTTTAACTCACACTGAGAATTTTTATTTCTCCAAACTGGCATCAGGATCTGCTCTCCCTGAGTGGCTTTACCTGGTGAGGGAATGCATGAGCAATACCCAGCTCAGACTTTGCTCCATTTCCAWTTTCTCCTGTGCATTAATGTTTATTTGGGGCTTCCCCTTGCCGTGCCATTATCCCCTCTCCAGCTTATTTGGTTGGATTTGGGGTCAGGATGCAGAGCTGGGCCTGTTCCTTCTTGTCAGYTCGTGGCCCTGCATCATTTCTGCTCCCAAATAATCTTTATTAAATTCTCAGGGCAGGAACTTGAGCACCAGAGACCCTTGAGCACCACAAGGGTTTCACTGCAGGCTCCAGTCTCTTGCTGAGACTCAGAGTTGAGGATTAGGATCTCATATTGGAGAAACCCCACAAATTCAGCATGAAAAATACCCCAAATCTGATGAGTAACAGGGATTCTCCGGCAAGGGATTGAACCAAAAGGGATTTGGGAATGGAAGAAATAAGGGATGCCAGGAATTTATAGTGTGTGAGAAAACAGAAGGAAGTGGAGCAATGAATCCCTTACTAAAAGCAGGTTTTAATGACTTCAAGAATTAGCATTATAGGCGCATTTGCAGGAAGTAGAACTCCAGAATTTAGGAAATAAATCAATAGRTGAATGACAAAGTACAACTTCTGCTAGAAAAGGAGCTGTGCTGTATTGAAAAGCTCTTGTACATTCATTTTTTTTTCTCCTGACTGTTATTGAAAATTAATTAACTTGAAAATAGAGAGCATCAATAGAGGGAGATTCACCCTAAAGGGAAGGTTAAAGCTGTGAAACTTGGCTAATTCTAGACGTTAGGAACTCATGTAGCTCATTTGAGATCTTATCATATTTTATGACTAATAAAATGYATTTTATAACGAATATAAAAATTAATTGAGGAATTGAGTCTCATTGACATTTTAAATGCGTCATCCTACAAGACAGAAATATTTCACAGGCAGCTTCTGTCCAAGATTCCCCCAGAATTCCYGAGATGGAGAAGAGCCGAGGACATTTTCTGAAAATATTCTGATCTTTCCTCATCCTTCCSATCTCAAACAAGATTTCCTCTGCTCCTTGAGATGTGCTGCTCCAAACTCTTGTAAATCTTAGTGTGATCCAAAGTTCCTTGAGCTTTTCCAGGATTCAGAGCAGTCCCTAAACTGAGAGTTCAATGAGGATTGAGGCAGACCAGGAGCACTTTCACTTTTTTATTCCACTCTCTCCATATCAAAGCCCCATTGGCCCTAAATCTCATAATACTCCTGGGATTTAGCTTTCCTTGCTGCCCCAATCCCTSTCTGTCTTCCCTTTCCCAGAAACACTCTCCTCATGCACTTTGCTTCCTGGGAAAAGATCAGAAAGGATTTGGCTTTTTAGAAGCTCTAACAAAAAAAAAATGGCATTATTTGTGCTACTCAGGGAATATAAAAGGAATTGCACTCCTGACACCTTCCTGTCTCCTCATGGATTATTTATTGCTGGAAAAGAGAGGGAAATGGGTGCCACTGGGAGATGAGCACATTCCTTTTCCTGAGTCTCATTTCACCCAGGACAAACCTAAATGTTACTGACAAGGGAATTTTAAATTCTTCCTTTCCATGCATTCCATCTCCCACCTTTCCCATGCACACACACCCCTTCCCCAAACACAGAACCAAAATCAACTTTAAACATTAACACAAGCTCCTTAAAAGGGTCTCAATTCCTGCAATTCCATTCCCTCAGTCTTTTCTCAGCGTTCATCGTTCTTTTTAACACCTGGCAGAATCCTCTTGGGTTTTATCCTCTTCTTCCCACTGCTGCTGTTCCACCACAACAATTTTGTGTGGCAATCAGAAAAGAGCAGAGGTAGAAAAGACATTCCCTGCAGAAAAATGTGCAAGGGCTGAGGTTTATCCTCCTGGCTGTGCTGTGAGAAATCAAAGGGGTGGAGGAGAGGTGAAGGGAGCAGGGCAGCATCTCTGATTCTTCCCCTGCAGCCTGGGGAGCATCCTCAGCTTGGATCAGACTGGTGCTGGAGTCAGGATTGGGAAAAATACAAGACTGGGAAAAAGTCTGCAGGAATGCTGGGGTTGACTCCAGCAGACCACTGAAGGAACAAAAAAAAAAAAAGGAAAAGAGAGAGATGAGAACTATTTTAAATAGAATGTGTTGCTTTGGAATTGTACCTCTCAAAACACAGGCAGGTCTTCTAGGTTTCTGCTAAAATCTAGTGACACTGATAAACCAAAACAGTTCCACAACAGATGTCCTTGAGATCCCTCAAAGCTCGAGAAAAGGGCTGAGAAACCCCAAACCCCTGCAGGGAACAGATTTGTAGGAAGAGAAGTTCCGGTGTCTCCGTGCTTGGTGACACATCCTGGTGACCACTGTGGACTTTYTGTCTTTCTAAGAAACAGAATGGCAATGCAGCCCTCCTGCAGGGAAGGAAGGGTTAGAATTTCCTCTTAATGTCCCCAACCCTTAGGTACGAGCTCAATACAACTGTCCCAGTGCTGGTGTCAGAAAGGTTTTCACTCTGAGGTTAAGGATGAGGTTTTCACTCTGAGGTTAAGGACGAGGTTTTCACACTGAGGTTACAGATGAGGTTTTCACTCTGAGGTTAAGGTGAGGTTTTCCCTCTGGGGATGGGTGAGATGGGAAGGTAAAGCCATCTCCATCGCTTCCCAGTACCAGGAGACTGATCCTCGAGGAAGGACAGCTCATCCTTTGGGATCTGGCCCACAACCAGCACCCCAAACCCAGTTCACACTGTCAGGATCCCCAAAAGCACGCTTGGCTTTCCCTCCTGATGAATGGAAGATTCCCCTTGTCAGTCATCCTGCAGCCAATCCCCCTCATGTTTGAAGCCGTTAAATCAGACATTTCTGCCCCAGGATTTTGTTGAAATTCCTCCCCCTTCAGAGCAGGTTTGATCCTCACCCCTGATCAAACTCACCGCCCTTGCTGGGGCTCTCTCTCCCTCCCGCAGTGAAGAAGCAGGACCTGGCCAGCGCCGTGGGGACCCACCTGCCCATCCTGCAGTGGGAGGACAAGCGAGGCCTGGCTTTCACCAAGAACAACCTGAGCTACTCCAGCAACGCCCTGGTGATTCCCATCTCCGGGGACTACTACGTGTACGCGCAGGTGACCTTCCGCGGGCCCGTGGGGAGCGGCAGCAAGCCCGGGCTGCTCACCCAGATCATCACCAAGGTCACCGACAGCTACCCCGAGCCCACCCAGCTGCTGACGGGCACCAAGACCCTCAGTGAGAACAGCTCTGGTTGGTTCCAGCCCATTTACCTGGGCGCTGTGGTGTCCTTGGAGGCGGGGGACAAGCTGATGGTCAACGTGAGTGACATCAAGCTGGTGGATTACACCAAGGAGCACAAAACTTTCTTTGGGGCTTTTTTGCTGTAGGGATGTGGCAGCAGCTGGTGGGGGATTCCTCCAGGGTCGTCAYGGGGGAAATTCGTTGGATTTTGGCTTTGTGGGCGCGTGTCGGGGTGAGATCGCTGCTGTTTTCCTTCTTCTTCTTTTTCTGTGCCATCACCATCCTGCAGCTCGTTAGAGCCTTAATTTGATGGGTAGGGAAAGGTGAAGCTGTAGGTTGAAGTGGAATAACACCCCCCAAAAAAAAATTCCCAGCAAAAACCAACCAAAAAAACCCAAACAAAAAAACGGACCAAAAAAACCCAAACAAAAAAACGGACCAAAAAAACCCTCCAAACACAAAAAACAAATCAAAAAACCCTACAAAAAAGATGAAAAAAGAAAAACACAACCAAAAACACCTCAGAAAATTCCAGCAAAATAAATATGAAAGGAAAAAAAAACACCCAGAACAAACCAATAAAAAAACCCTCACAAAAAAAAACAACAAAAACCAAAAACACTACCAAAAAATAAAATTCCAACAAAACAAAAGAAAAAGGGTTCAAAAAAACCCAGAACAAAAAGAAAAAGTAAATTCAAACCATAAAAATGAAACTCATATTGGAGGGGGGAAAAAAATGTATTTTTGAAAGTAAAAGTTGAAAGTTCTTCAAAAGTTTGTAAGCTAAGGAGGAGCGGTTTATACCTGYGGGTGGGAATGTTGACCTTGAATGTTGAGCTAGGCCATGCCACTAATTCTACCTTCACTGTACAATTTCCACAATTCAAAAAAAAACAAACAAAAAAAAGGTTTTGAGCATTATCCAGCATTCCAGTATAGTTTTGCATGACCCTTCTTCAGATTCTCAGTTCTATAAGACAATTATTCCTCATMATTTCCTTTTTAATAGATTTACTCAGTACTTTGCACTAACACAAAGCTCAGGTTAACAATCAACTGCTTAATTAWTCCCTTCCAACTTCCCTGTAAAGTAGATTAAAATTATATCTTGTGCTTTGCAGAAGCAACTTGAGATTTTTGGTTTTTCCAAAAAAAAAAAAAAAAAATTGTTTACAGCTCTCTAAGTCCATATACAGCCTCAAAATGTTCTGGAAAAGCTCTTGGGAACACACACAGACACTTTCTGTTTTAGCATGAAAGTGGAATTTCCCTCCAGGTCCTACTTTTGGGAAAAAAACAAAAAAAAAACAAAAAAAAACCACGGCAGAGAGAGCCACAGAACAAAATTTTTCACACTTTTAAACCAGACACCAAAATTTTGGGAGAAATCCTCTGCAATATTTTGCTTTCCTTTATGTTTCATGTAAAGCAAGTGCAGCTAAAAAATCCCTGTCTTGGTGCTCCAGACACTGCTGATGGTGGCCCCCTGACCCCAAGGGACTGCCCAGCCTTGCCCTGTGGTGAAGGGTGGCCACCACTTGTCCACAGATGAGGTCAAAAGACCCAAAGGCACAATCCTGGTGTGCCAAGTGTGGAGCTCAGGAGTGTTTCACTTCCCACCTTGCACTTATTCATTTCCTCAGATCTGTCTCTCAGGGAAATTCCCATTTTTCCTCCCCTCCTGCAGCAAACACATCTCTAGATCATGATCTCATGGAATTGGGTTTCACGCTCTGAACAGCCCTAAGGTCTCACCCATCACCCAACCACCAGGCTCTCCTCTCTGCAGCTCTTTCCTCCTCGAATTCCCTCAATTTTTCCACTTCTTGCTCAGAAATGACAACAAGGCTCTGTTGCCTAAGCTGATGTTTCACCCTAAGCCGTGGTGGAGCCCAAATTCTACCCATTAACGCTGGGGAGATGCTGAGATGGGGAATCATGGGGGCAGGAGTTTTATCTGAAGAGCTGATCTGGGCAGAGGTTTTTGAGTGGAGACAGCCCCGTGTGTGATCCTGCAGCCAGCTTGGTCATGGGAAACCTCTTCCCATCAGGACACCCKTTACTGCCCTGGGAAAATCTGTTTGGGCTGACAGGGAGAAGGCAGGGGAAGAGCAGAGAGAGAAACAAAGGAGATTGGGGAGGAGCTGGGAAGGTCCAGACACCACCAGGGTCTCTGAGTCTCYGTGTTTTGGGGTGAGGACCTTCCTGCAGCCATCAAAACTGGCAGGTCTTTTGGGCCAAATCATCTCAGCAAAGGTGGCTTTCTGCCCGTTCTTCCCTGTCCTGCAATTCCTGGATCCCATAGTCTCAGTGCTCCCCATTTGATCTCCAGAGCCCGCTTTAAGCCCATCACAACACCCAGGAGTTTGCTGTCCTGCTTTCTTCCCCTCTGTGGGTGTCTTCTTGCCCCCAGATTTTCCTCGAGTCTCATCACTGGGTGCTGGCCCTGGCACAGCCCTGCCCATCTGGGGACCTTGACAAAGCCCCTGCATCAAAACCTCAYCCCARTTCRCCCTCCCATCCTCCCTTTGATCCATTTTTAATTTCCCCCACATCCCCATCTCAGCTGTCCTCTTGATCCTTGGTTCCTCCCTGACCATGTCCTTTAGGTGTCAGGACATTTCTTCACCCAAATGTCATTTTTTACACTCAATTTCTCAGTTAACAAACAAAACTGTCATCTCAAAATAGCTTCAGGTGGGAAAAAATGAATTTAATGATCCTGTAGAGATGGAAACACTCTGAGTCTGTCTTTATGATCCTGATAATTTCCATATTTTGGTCCTTACTCCCATTTTCTCCACCTGCTCTCCACCTTCTCACCCATTTTTTTTAAGCTGAGCCCGGAGCAGTTATTCCCCAATTATCCATTCCATGCTCAGCACACACGACCTCAGCCTCGTTCATCCTCAGAAAGGGGTTCAGGTCATGCAGTTCCTTTTCAGGGCTCTTCTTCCTGCTCAAAAACCTCCCCACCACGGCAAAATCTGCTGAAATCCCACACTCTTGCCACTTCAAAATAATTCCCTGTGAAATAATTCCCCAAGACTTTCCATGTCTCAGATTTTCTGAAGTGTTCCCTCAACACCTCATTCTGAGTCCTTTGATCCTTTCATTGTGTGCCCAAAAAGAGATTTAAACTCATAAAACCACAAAATCTGCAGCTTTTGRATGATGTAGAGCACTTCAGATGACCAGCCTATGAAATAGCATGGTCAGTCTCATAAAGGAAATTTTAAAAGTGATTTTCCAAGACGGAAAAGCAGCCAGGCAGGAAAGCTTCTGCAAAGCGCAAAATAGGARGAATTTGCTTTGTCCTTGGAGAAAATTGGAGGGGAAATTCTGTTTATTTTGGGGTAATTGCAGCAATTCAGAGAGCTTCTCTTTTCTGATTGTTCTGAGGGCACAAGGCAATCCATGAATGCTGGATCCAGAGATGTCATGGCTCAATCYTGGTGTGCTGAATGATGGGAATTGTGAGGGCCAGGGGAGATGAGTGGGAAATTCAATCAAAGGGCTTTCTGTGGGATATCCACACATGGACATGCATTTATTTTTGTGGATATTCCATAGAAATTCCAGTAACCCCGTTGCCAATAATGAGCCTTTTCTAGCACATAATTTGCATCTGCTGCACACTAAAGATGAATTTCACCAGCAAAAYGCTGCAGCTCCATTCCAGGAGTGATTCTCCCGATCCATTTTCCGTAAAAATATTTATTTTAGTCCAGTTAAGAGCTTTTGCACCCAGCTTCGAGCACATTTAGCACACATTTTATAGGACATAAACCAATATATGTGGCATTACTTGTTTTAAAGTGGTGCAGATATATTGATCCCCACACGTATCCCTGTGGAAATTCTCTTTTTTCCCCTTTTTTTCCCCTTTTCAGTGCTAATAATGTTATGTGACAATGTGCTAATAATTTTATGTGACAGTGACCAGCACATAAAATAAGTGTTCAGGGACTGGTTTGGACCCTGTTTTATCTCAGATATTCCTCCACAGAACTCAAAGACGTAAAGTCACTGAAGTGACTTAAGTCAAGCCTAAAGGGAAAAATCTCCAACAGACTGAACCTAAAAACTGTGGATTCTCAGATTATTTTTTTTAAAAAAAGCTAAACAAGGACACAAGCGTTCTCACAAATTTGTGTCTGTTAAATTAGAAATGTAAAGCATTTCTGGAGATGCAGAAATGCACAGGCATCAGCATTTTTAATGAAATGAGAAGCTGATGAAATCTGGTCATGGGAAGCAGTGACCTTAAAGTCTGTGATCAAGCTGAGCATGTGCTTTGCTTCGGGTGGCTGTGAAACTAAAACCATGTTCAGGAAAAAAAAAATATGGAAGAAAAAAGGGTGAAATAGGCAGCTCGGGCTAAATAAGGTAAAACATATGATTTCAGGTTTTGACCCTTCCATTTCTTAGGAAAAAGAACTCGAAAGCACTTTTCAGAACAAAACCACTGAAAGAAGAAGTATCAAATTGTTATTATTTTTTAACGACTGTCGAAATATTTGCGACTTTAGGAGTCGTCTTCTTCCCTAATCTCTTTCATCCCCCAAAAAACTAACACTAAGCACAACCCAAATTCATAAATAAGTTCATTGCCTACCACTTCCTTTTCCCTTTCAGACTAAATATTTATAAATAAGCATTAACTTTCTCTCCATGTACATGCAGAAGTGAATTTTAACCAAGGTGTAAAGAAAACAGCTCCAATCCTGCCAGCATTTCTTTGTACTGAATGTGACCCTGAGGGGGATCGTGGTGAAACCCAGCTCCTTTTTGGTGGAAGGGAGGAATAAAATCTGAATTCCTCCAATTAGAAGGGCATTGAAAGCTTTAATTGTGTTTATGCTCAGCTCCATCACGGTTTGGAGCGATTTTCCAAATTGAGGAGTGCTTTCAGGGACCATCCAGCACAGGGCTGTTGGCAGGATCAGTGCCTAAGGGTGTCAAACATCCCCCAAATCACCAAAAAGAGATGATTTTGGATGTGACAGGGCAGGGGATGTGATGAGCACACCCCTCTACAAACCCAGACCAAGCCCATTTAGGAATTTGCTTGAAATTTTCAASGCAGCATTCCAGAATTTTAAAGGAACTCTGGTTTTTCCACCCCACTATGGCACGACTGACCACCCTGCCCCTTGTGTTATTTACCTTCTGAGTGGCCCATCATTTCAGCTGAGAAATGAGGAGAGAATTCRTTCTTTAGAAGAATCAGAAACTGTCAAGGATCTTTGCCCAGATGTGGGTGTTACACACCAGTAATAGCATTTCGCTATTGTAAGGGATTTTCTAGAAGGGATTGTATTTTGTCTTGTGCCTCAGCACTGAGATGTATCTTTCCCACAAGAACTGACTTCTTTATTTTTTTTGCCAAGTTTTATGATAATAAAAATGCAACTTAACAAATGTGACCGATTTTGATCCTGGTCCCTTTCCCAAAACACTAATCACAWTTAAGAGTGACCACAGCAGCCAGGTGCTGCTGATGTATAAAAACCTCAAGTTTTATTGTGTGTAAATGTATGAATAATCATTATTTTAYGGAGTTAGAGGTCCTTCATTAGAGTGAATTGGGGTCCCAATGCTCCCCTGGGAATTCAGAGACACTCGCACTTCAAAAAACGGACACAAAAACACCTCAGCATTTTGGGAATTAGATATTCCCAACTGCTCAGATCCTGGCTGAACAGGAAATTCCTAACCTGGAAATTGTGGCCAAAAGAGTCAAAATCCTGTCTGAAGGCAGCAGAGCTCTGGACACCCCTGACCCTTTTAACAGAACAGCAGCATCCCCTGGATATTCATTCCTTATCCTGGCTGCTGTTATCTTTCTTATCTTAATTCCTCTCCTGCCAAAAATGCAAATTCTTGTCTTTCCACCAGCAAAACTGAAAAACATTCCCCCATTTGCCATAATATTTTATATTCCCCAAATTTATTTTGTTTTCCCAGCTTGAACTCAGGGTACCCCATTTAAATTGCTCCAGGAGAGGTTTCTGGTGAAGGGCTCTGTGCCCTGGCTCTGGGAGGGTTTTCACTGGAACACTCTGATGGAGGATRTTTGTTTTCCCTGTTTTCCATGCACCTGCAAATCCCTGGGAGGTTTTGTTAACAGCCTCTGTAGATCAGMCAGGAGTTAATTAGACAGTGGGAATCAGGCTGCTTTCCCCTGTGCCACCAAAAAGATGTTATTTGCTGTTGTGTTTTTGTTATTTTTTWAAAAAAATCCAATATCTACCTCACATTTAGCAAAAGCAAACCAGAATTTTATTATTATTATTTTC